AAACACAAAAGATTACAGACCTTACTGGAACGATCGTGCACGAGAGTTGTCGGAAAAATTGTGGTTACCCAATGTAACCGATTATGTAGGTTCGCCTACGAATTACTTAGGCACATGTTCTCACTCAACTCTACAGAACTCGTGGTTCTCTTCGAAGATTTGACAACTAATGAACGTGAGTTATACGAAGATATCCTTGCCATCAACACTGTATTTATCTGCAGGATGCAAGGAAGAAGAGCCGCACAACATCGAAAAAAAGGAAAGAAAAGAATAAGGATATCGACAATTAGGAAAGCCAAGAAAAGAAAAATGGACGAGGGTGTGATCCGAACGTTAAACGTGAGGTTATTAGGGTTGATTGTTTATAAACCAGAACACAGGTGTAACCGAAACCCCGGTCGAGTTCCGTACCAGAACCGGTTCACACCTTTTCATATCAAGAATAAGATCGGTTTGGTCCGGTGACCAAACCGCCTGTTTTCAATGGAAATCCCTTTCTCGGAATTACGAGGAAACTTCGGCTGTCGATCTTATGCAAGAAACTGGACCCAAACCAACACAAAATGCAAAAATTAATATAAAATTAGCACACCGCATAAATGCAAAAGGTAAAAAGATTACACAGTATAAATAAAAAAAGTACACCCACCAAATCAATAAATGATTCGACAAAATTATAAATCTCTAACAAGATTGGTATGCAAATTTTTTGCATTCTCTTATTATTGATAACTGATAAAGGACATAATTATCGATATATTGTACAAATTATTATAATAAACTCTATAGCTCCTAATACACAACTATAATAACCGCACTGTCAAGTGACTCGCTATTGTAGTTTCCTCGTTGAATTTTGAATTCTGAGAGGTATTGGAGATTAACGTAACGTTGGTAAGATGATAATTAAACTGTGTACCTTTGCGTTACAAATATTATTATATTTAGTAGTTGGCTAAATTAAATTCTATTAACGTTAAGCCATTTCAACTCAATACTATATACTGTACAATTATGTTATATCTTAGTTTTTATATTTTCACTTTTCTCTTAAATATTATTGCTGCGAATTTTATTCCGGCTGGAAGAGAATTTCATTCCTCAGTTTTTATTGATAAAAAACTCTATTTTAGTGGTGGATTTTCTTCAGTCTCTAACATTACTAATGAATTCTTCTATCTGGATTTTTCGAAACAATTTACAACTACTAACATTGCCTCTATACCATGGATTGATCTTACTAATACCAACGGTCCTCTAAAACATTCTGCCACAGCATGCATAGGTGGAAACAATAACGATACAATTTTTATATTTGGTGGTTTTCCTTATAATAATTTTGTTAACCAATTTAATATAAACAAACAAAAATGGAATAATATCTCTTCTACCGGAAGCGCACCCATATATAGAAAAGATATTTCATGTGCTAAATTTAATAATGGATTTATTGCAATATTTAGTGGTTTTATTAATATAACTTATACCACAAATGATCTTTGGATATTCAATACATTAACATTATCATGGAGTTTAAGCAATGCAACCAATGCACCACCATCTCGCTTTGGTTATTGTGCAATAACTTTGCCAGATGGTAATATTTTATATATTGGTGGAAGTAATCTTGCTAATCGGTCATCCTATATACCAATGAATAATGTAAGTGTTTTCTTTTTTAATTGGTCTTTTTACTTTATTACAGTATTAATAATTATTTTATATTATTAAAAACTTTTTGTATTTTGTAGTTACCATTATATAATACAAAATCTGATACATGGGCAAATATGGTAATGAAAAATAAATTTTTATTTTGTATTATCAACTAATAACTGATTGCAATACCATTTAATTAGAGTATATCCGGTCCAACACCTCCTACTCGTATATATTTTTCGGCGGTAATAAGTATGTTATAAATAATATAATATATATATATATAAAAGCATTCAATTAATCATTTAAATTAAAAGCTTCAGATAGACGAATTATAATATTTGGTGGTCGTAATGAAGTGATTCTCGGTGATCTGTGGATCTTGGATTTAACAATGTCTCAATGGTCAATAGGAAATATATTAAATCCAATTAATGATCTAACTCTTTGGGGACATACAGCAAACTTAGTGAACAATTATATGCTTGTTGCTTTTGGTACATTTTATTATTTATTTATTTATTTATTTTGTCATTAGTTATTGTATGTATTAATATGCTATATATTTATTCTGTTCAACAGGCGCATTTCAAAATTCTACTTTTTCTTCAAAAATATTTATGTTGAATATAAATAAAAGTGCTTCCTATACTTGGACTACTGAATTCATTCTGGATACTTCTCAAGCTATTTCAGACTCCCAAATGTCTGATTTAATGATTGGTGCAATCGTTTCTAGTGTTGTTTCTTTAGTAATAATAGTTTCTGCTAGTATTTTTCTTTATTTCAAAGCGGATTCCTTTAATGTATATAATTATTTGCCAATAACAAATATGGAATTTTTGCATTATAGATGGAATTCTACTGACGAACAGTAAGATTTCAGCGATAAAAATTATATAGTACTTATTATTATAAATATTAATAAAATAGACTACAAATTGGTTAAATTGTATGATTACTTTGCAAATAGGAAATTTTTTCTTTAATATAAAGTAATCGAAAATATAAAGAGTTATACTTAGAATTTATAGATCATGTATTTTGAAATAAATATACTATTAATATATAATTTTATTACTGCGATTTTTAACATTATAAGGTTCTATAAGATCTAAATTTGTAATAACTCTGTTTGTGTGATTTGTTTATTCCTTTTAGTTAAAAATTTTTCATTTAGTATTGGTTTTGTTTCTGGTTTTCCCAAAAAATGCAAAAGGAAAAGACTATTTAGAGACCAGAATTTTATGATTACTATTAGTTATAGTAAGAGAATCTTCATAATAAAATTCAGTTAGAAATTGTATAGTTCAATGATATGCTTAAATGTAATCAATTTTGCTGCAATATCTACTACTTTGTCAGATATTTTGTTGATTAGCAGTATAGTTAGCTAGATCGTACATATTAAAACTATGTAAGTAGGATAGTAAACATATTTTAGAAGAGGTACTAGATAGATAATTAGTAGATGCATTAAAATCTTCTAGAATAATAGAAAGAAAATTTAAGCTAAGGGCTTGCTGAATTTATATTATAGCTTTTTCTTGAGCTGAGTCTCTATGAGATTTTTTGAGGTAAATAAATAAACTGAAATAATTCTAAATTTAAAGTCATATTTGAAAATAAGATCAATAGCAACAGCTCCTTTATAATGTGTTAGCATATTGTGAATATACAGCTTCAGATTGTTATTGATCATGAGTGCAGTTCCTTTAGCAGAGTTTTCAAAGCTTGCTCAAAAGTAGAAAAAGTTTTTAGTATTTAAAAATTTTTGAAATCATAAGGTTTTCTGTTTAGTTTTAGTAATGCAAGCAATATTAAAATTTTCTTTTATATAGTATTCTTTTTAGAATTGTCTTTTAGTTAGAATATTAAAGTCTTGAACATTATAGATTACTATATTAAGGTTAAGATTAGAATTAGTAATTGAGTAGGTTTGTGATTTTAATGATAAGTTGTATTATATTA